CCTCTAAAGACCTGCTGAAGGGTCAAATGAGTTGATTTCCATATATAACAACTAGATACATCAGCAAAAAGTATGCAATAAGTATTTGTTTAAAGAAAAAATAGGGGAGATACAAGATGGTGGCGGAGGCAGAGACAGCGTGGTGAGCTGCGGGAGCAGCGAACCACTTAAAGCAGGGCCATTATGGCCTTCCACAGACTTTGGCTTATTGATAATTGAACACTTAAACAGTTGATGACTGGCCCTCAGTGAAGATCAAGGCTCAACAACAGGAATTCAAGGATTCCCAAGGAGAAATGGGTGAGTCTCATGGCTCCCAACCACCCCCCCCCACCCGCAGAGTCCTCACCACGCCGCACAGCCGCTGTAGGTCCATGAGGCTTCCACAGCCAGAACAAATGGATTCCCTCACCCAGGATGGATGCTGGGCACCAGCCCGCCTCAAGACTGGTACAGTGAAGCCACCACACTGCTGTAAGGTGGATTTGGTCTGGAGAGAATTCTTGGAGCCAGGATGGTGGCTGTGGGGGAAGCAGGCGCCCGCCAGCCGCCCACACAAGAGGGGCCGCACACCAGCTGAGTGCCCGTGCGGCGGGGTGGGGGTGGCACACCCCCAACGGCCGCCCGCACTGGGGGGCCGCGCGCCTCCCGCAGGCCTCCTGAGCTGGGGGGAGGGGCGCGCCCCGCTGGCCACCTGTGTAGGAGGTGGGGGATGGGATGCATGCCTGCCATCTGCAGGTTTGGGTCTCCTTGGACAGGCCAAAGAAGATGATTACCTATGCATTGGACAGACCAAAGAAGACAATTACCTATGCACTGGACAGGCCAAAGAAGATGATTATCTATGCAATGGATTGCTGAAAGTCACTGAGAGTCTGATGACCTTAACAGTGGCAGCATGCACAAGAGGACTGACATCCTAAATGCACCACATATTTTGTTCTGTTGAATGTTTCTGTCAAAAGATGGTTAGACCTGGGGGGAGTCTGTTCACAATTCTCAGGTTCCCTTTATCATATATAAAGGGGGAGGGCAGTGACACCTACTTCAAAATATAGTATGACCACTTATTGGTGGGGGGGGTAAAAGTGGCAGTGCTGGAATTAGAAATACTATCCCTGACCACAGAGTCCTCAGTCAGGCGAGGGGACCAGACTGGGATAGGGGCAATTGGAGGGGGAGTATACCAGCCAGCTGCTGGGGGGTGTTGCCCTGCTCGGGATGGGCTGACCTCGGCCCCCAGGTCGGGGTGCACCTAGCCTTCGTGGCCCTCTGCCCAGGACGGGCTGCCCTCAGTCCCCGGCTCGGGGCGAGCCATCACGGCCTTCTGCCTAGGGCGGGATTCCCTCGGCCCCAGGCTCGGGGCGAGCCGTCGCGGCCCTCTGCCCGGGGTGAGCCGTCGCGGCCTTCAGGGTGAGCTCCTCAGTCCCCAGATTGTGCCATCTGACCCCTGGGTGGGGAAGGGGGAAAAAAATAAAAAGAATGCCTAGGGTATCCAGAGAATGTTACCTAGGCAACCTTCTGCCACCCCCCACCCCCAGTAAACCTGAAAGCAACACCCTCAAAGCTCTTCTATTTGTAACTCACAAGTTTGTTCTCTCTAGGTTTGCTCCCTTTCCTATAGGTAACCTTAACTCTCAGTTTTACTCCAGAACTGACCCTGAACCCAGTGCCCATGACAAAAAGGAAATACAACTGACAGCTAAGGAAGCAAATGAGGAAGGAGCCTCTGGGTTCAACCAGCCATCCTCACTGGATCCACCTGGGTAAACACTTTGCAGTCCAGAGGGGAGCAAATGACAGGAAAATATCTTCTAACAGAGCAAGAAGGCAAGCAGCTTTACCCAAGACCACCAATATGGTGATAAAGCGTCCTCCCTTCCCCCCTTTACATCTACACCCCTGTTCAGCATGAAGAAGCCAGAGAGTCAGCATCCAATTCCCAAATCAATAAGACAGTTGTTTTAATTACCATTGGAAAATGCTTGTCATTCCTCTGTAGTATCTGGTCCCCTCTGGACCCTCATTATTTCCTTCACCTGGACCCCCCACCAACCAAACTGTGCAGCTCTGCAAGTGCATCCTGGCCCATCCTCACCTTTCTGCCCCCAACCCTCACCTCCTTGTACCCCCAATATGTTTTTCCCAATAAAAAAAAATTAATAATAAATAGGTCAAATATCTGTTATAATTTGTGAGATCAAACATATGAATAATTTATCCAGAATATGGCAAATGGAATAAACAGATAAAAAATGCATGATAGTCATTAGGATACATATTGGAAGATCTAGTGTATGTCTGATTGGAGGAAATGGCAGTTGGAGGAGAGGCAATTCTGAAAGAATTAACAGTTTCAAACTTTATAGTAAGTATCACATAAATGAATCCATAAATAAAAACACAGACACACTCAGAACAAGAAGGGAAAGACAAGACTTTAAAGGCAGTGGAGAGAAGTAAAAAAAGGATGTCAAAAGAAATGTTAAAATCATGGTGGAACTGTCAACAAAATGGATTAAGGACATAAATACTAAACTAAAATAATAAAATTCTTAGATGATAATACAGTGATAACATTTTTAACAAAAGAAAAGCTAATGTAATAGCAAAGATTAAATAAGTAAATGGTATCTCAAAAAAAGAGCAACTTTAGTTCATGAAACTCATTTATTGTCACTGAGTCAAGAACCTACTCAGAGCTGAGCCTCCAGTGAATTTTCAGAGGCTGTAAATCATACAGTAAAGGAGTGCTCATTTTGCTCCTGCAGAGGACCCTCTAGTGAATTCGCACTGCAAGAGAAGGATCATCCTTGGGTCAGCTTTGTAACAACCAAGAGAACCAAAAAAGTGAAAAGCAGTTAACTAAAAGAAAGGATCTTTAGGGACCATATACCCAACAAGTAAGCAACAATCAAAATAGACATTAAAAGGTCAACACTTAACAAGAAAAAGGCAATTCAACTATTAAGTTGCAAAGGGCTGGAGCTATTACACCAGAGTAAGATCAAATCCAAATCCAATTAACTCACACCCTGTTGAGAGCAAAGCCATACCCAAGTCTCAACCCTAAACCAGAAAACACACCTTCACAGAATCCAACAGTTCCACTCATCTTCCCATCCTATAAATAGCCCCAAACTGGTGGCCAAAACCCTTTTAAAATACAAGGCCAAATCCAATCAACTCACACTCTGTTGTGAACAACAGACACACCCTACTCTCAACCCCAAACCAGAAAACACACCTTTGCAGAATCCGGCTATTCCACTCATCTTTTTTTGGCCTCGTATTTAAAAAAAACCTCTTGAAACACTAAAATTAGCATTACCATATGATACATTAATTACACTCCTAGGTTTGTATTTACAAGATAGGAAAGTAGAGACCCAAAGCCTTGTTTACAATGTTCACTGCGAAAAAGGTAGAAATGTTTATTAACAGATAAGTGAATAAAACAATGAGAAACAAACAACATAATACTTCACAACCATCAGAAGAAATACAGTCTTGATACATAATGCAACACAAATGTATCTGTAAGGCAATGCACTGAGTGAATAAATCAAAATAAAAGAATTAATAATTAATGCTCTCACTAAGGTACCTTCTCTCTCACTGCCATTGAGTTAGAACTAATTCACAGTACCTCTGTTGGGTTTCCAAGGCTGGAAATCACACAGGTGATTGTCCAGCATTCTCCCATGGAACCACTGTGAATGTGAACCACCAGAGAGGTGAAGTGAAGCCTTAGGGTTAGAAACATATGTCCCTACTAACATACTAAAAAGGAAAAAACAATGAATAGACAATAAAATGTATAAGTAGTGAGCAAAAGTACGAAGGGAAAGGTGATGGAAATATCTCACTGGTTAAGTGTTGCATAGGCGATTACTGTAAACGCTTCCCATAAGCAATGTACCTGTAAGCAGTTAAGTCCTCAAAAGTGTGTGATGGATATATTTAAAATAAGAAAAATAGCCTCTGTGGCTGCTTACATAAAACTGAAAACATGAGATTAGGTTCCTAGATTTGGAAGTTGAGAGTCATGGTATCATAAAACATCTCAATTAAGTAATTCAAACACACACTTAAGTGCTTCTGCTCTATCTCCTAGTTTGTTGGACAGTAATTGAGTCTCGAACGTTTGCAAGCTGCCTTACAAGAGATAAAAACTGGTCTCTACATCTGGAGCAACAGAGGTAGAAGGAAAGTCAGGAATATAGGAAAATGTGGAATGTACATAAAATTGTCTCCTTAAACAATTGTTTCCTTTGCCATGAGAACAGAACTGGTTGGTGCCCATCTTCAATTACCAGTAATTTTGCTCAAAATATTCCGTACAGGTACCTTAAGCAAAAATGAAAAACAACAAAACAGAATTTCATATTCTCATTAACTCCAGATTTGCTGAAACCATAATGGTTGCATAAACCCCCAAAACTATTCTTGCGACCAGCTTTAAACCTTAATTCAGAAATAGCACTTGTAATACTTTTCTTAAAACTAAATAGCAGTTTAGCTTAGTTTATAAAAAATGTCTGCATTTTACAGGATCAAACTGACAACAGGAACTCTAAAAACTTGATAGTAGCCTTAGAAGACAACTCTGAAGATTAGATGTACTCTCAAGTTGAAATCAACTCACAGCTGACCGTCCAGCAGGTTTTCAGAGGCTATAAATCTCATAAGTAGAGACTACCCATCCTTTTTCTACAGAACACTTGGTGGATTCACAGTGCAACTCTTTACCTACGAGGGCACCAGAGCTTTCTGACGATTAGACAGGAATCATTTATGTTAATGACAGAAGTACAATTTAGAAAAGAATGAGAATAGTTCCAGAACTGAAAGAACACAATCAATGTGACCAAATGGTACAGGCAAAGATTATTGAATTAGTGTATATTTAGTGGAATATAACTCCACAAGAGAATATATTTAACTTTAAGGGGAAAAGGAAATCCAAAGAGGTAGATATTTGAAATTCCTCTACTCACCTGCTCCAAATCAAGACTGATCCATTTATCATTTCCCTCTTCAGCCACTGATATATGGCATTTGCTTTTGTTTTTAATCATATAAAAAGGGGTAAATGTCACAATTCTGGTGATGTTGAAACTGCTGAGGTCTATAGTGACACCAACCTGGGGGCAGGGAGAAGGAAATGAAGTCTCTGTTACAATTAAATTATCATAAACATTACAATGCTTCTCTAGCTAATTCTGTGTTGACTTCATGTGTGTCAGAACAGAACTTGTGCTTTACAGGGTTGCAGAGCTTTTTTGGAAGTAGATTACCAGGGCTTTCTTCCAAGGCACTTTGTAGATGGATTCAGACTCCCAATCTTTGGGTTAGCAGTCAAGGATGCTAATCATTTGCACCTTGTAAGCACTTGACATTGTCATAACACTTCTAATAAAAATCACTTAAACTATGAGCTGGATGCTGTGTAAGCTCTATGAATACAGAGACCATGTTTAAATGTCAGGCAAAACTAAAATAATTATTTTTATGAGCATATAGTTGTCTTTGAGCTGTAGTGCTAGAGAAGAGTATTGAATATAACATGGACTGCTAAGAGAACAAACAGGTTTGTCTTGGAGAGGGTAAAGCCAGGCTGCTCCTTGGAGGCAAGAATTTTGAAGCTTCAACTGACAGACTTTGGACATGTTGCAAGGAATGACCAGTCCTTGGAAAGGGAGATTATGCTTGGGAGGGTGGGGAGGAGACAGCGCAGGAGGGGAAGACCCTCGATGAGATGGATGACTCAGAGACTAGAGTAATGGGGGGTAGGTGTGTTGGAGACAGTAAAGTTGGCACAGGGCAGAGCAGGGTTCAGAACTGTTGTACATCACTGAGTCGCAAGCAACTCGATGGCATGTAACAACAACAACAATCATTAACTCACTTGGTATTCCATGTTTGGACCTTTACATTTCACAGCTCCATGACTACCAACAGTATCAATTGAAAACTGATCTGACAATTCACTATCAGTCACCATAAGTTGAACCTAGAAAGAGATTTCAAATTAAATGTATATTAGGTAACTTTAAAAATTCCTATCTAAACTGTTAACTTTATATGTTTACATAAGTCAAAACACCAATTGTTATTATAGCAAACATTTCCCAACACTATATTCTAATATTATAACTCATATAGTAATGACTGTTATTGCTATGTTATATAAAATTTTAGTCTTCAGAAATCTAAAAACAAAACAAAAAGATAATCAGCTAAAGAGCAGTGAAAAGGTTTGGGGTTACTTTTTTAATTGCGTACCTTATTGTTATTAAAAAAGTGTTTTGGTTGAAAACTAAATAAAACTGGCTTTGTATAATTAGGTGGATGCTTTCGATGAATTCCATCCGCTTTGTACTGTAACAATCGGCCAGTTTTATTGACCATCCAATAAGGACTATGAAATGCCACAACCACCTGGCCTGTATTATAAGTCACATGGATGGCAATATCTAAGTCAGTCTTTTCTATTTCTGTAACACAGGTAAAGTTGATGAAACTAATGTCTTGTTGGTTATGTTTTACTTGATATTCACTTTTCCAATCATGATTTAGATAGTCAAGTAATTTCAAATGTAGCTTGGCTTTGTCCAACTCTGCAGTACAAATCTGTGCTGAACATCCTTCATTCAAAGTAAAAATCCTATGTTCAATACCCTAGGAGGAAAAAAAAATACTATTTTAAAAACATGTATATATGAAAAAGAAATACACACAAATAAGTTGAAAACCATTTCGTATACTAAAAACATATTTAAATATTCCATGTGCTCAAAATGCTCTTGAAATGTATCAGTAAAACGAGTGTTTAAAACTAGAGCACATATATTGAAATCCTAACTCTGTCAACTGCATGAACATGTAGAAAATATGCAATCTGAGACTTGAGCTTTTCTATTTTTAGAGATCAAAATTATTTCAAAAGCTTACTCAGTTAATAAATAGCTTTCATCATAATTTTGTGTACCATCAAATCGGATCTGATAGGTACAGGAGGAGACTGCCCCTCCTTCTTCAGCAGAGCATCTGATGGATTTGAACCACAAACTCTGGTATTCGAACCACGTACCTCTGGAATTGCAGTGCAGATTCTTGCCACTAGGCCACTAGAGCTCCCTAATAGCTTGTATTTTTAAAATAAACTAGAGTAGAATATAAAAAGTTTTTAACAAAAATTGAAACTCGTTGACAGTAAGTTGGGATCAATTGCTAACTCTCCATTGGGTTTCAAGGTTGTAAATCAAAAAAGAGAGATTATGCACCATTCTCTCTGAGACACTAGTAGAGTCAAAACACCAGAGAAGTACAGCTCCAGGGCAGCAGCGCAACCCCCCTATACACTCCATATTCACAAGAACTCTCTCAGCTCTAAGTTAGATCCTATGTAAGTTTTGTTAATGTGGGGCCAAATTTCACTTTAAATCCTCAATTCCTAAATGGTGCCTGGCACAGTAGTGCATTGTTTCTTAACAAGAACTTTTCATTCCACAAAAAGATAGGGCAAATGACAAAAGTAACTTAAGATACAGAACTGTATATAAATTTGTAGGAACAATTATTTAATATATACTTCATATAGAGAAAGCTCTAGTAAATATTACTAGATAACAATAAGTAAGAAATAAATTAATTTCTTACAACATACGAGAATGAAAACAACATAGGAAAATCTTTGGGACATAGCAAAAGCAACACTCAGAGGTCAGCTGGCAGCAATAAATTCACACATCAAAATGAAATAAAAACCAAAATCAATACTACTTAACCACATCTCCAAAATTTAGAAAAAGAAGAATAAGCAAACCTTTCAGTCTCCAAAAGAAAGGAAGGAAAATGAGAAGAAAAGCAAAGAAACAGAAAAAAAAAAATTAGAAAAAGAATCCATGAGACTAGAAGATGGTTCTTTGAAAAGATTAGTAAAATCAAGAAGCTGCTGGCAAAACTAACATGAATATGAAATGAGTGATTTCACAAAACAGGCGTAATTAAAAGGATAACAGATAACAGGAATACTATGTACAACTGTCAACAAAAATGAAAACCCGAGGAAATGAATGGTTATCCATTTATGCACTGCTTATCTAAGCTAACATACACAGATTTAAGAAAAAAAAAATCTGAACAGACTCATCACAAAAGAAGGTATTGAACAGGTGTGAAAAACACTCCCAATCAAAAAATATCCCAGATGGGTTCATTGGTGAATTCTAATAACCATCACAGAAGAAGCGATTTTACCCAAACTATTTTACAATATAGAAAAAAATACTCCTACATTGAGACAGTGAATGAATTCTGGTAACAAAGCCAGGCAAAAACACTACTTTAGAAAAAATTACTGACAGTTATCCTTCATGAACATGGATGTAAAAATGTCAATAAAATCACAGCTAATAGAATCTCACATAGTATCTAAAAATTCTTTATGATTATCAAGTGAGATTCATACCAGGTATTCAAGGACAGCTCAGTATTGGGGGAGGGAAGATCTGTGTAATAAATCATTTCAATAAAACAAAAGGACATGATCATCTCATTTGCTGCAGAAAAGGCATCTGACAAGTTCAACACCTTTCAAAGAACTGTAAAGGAAAATAGGAATAGAAGAGAAAGTTTTTTAACAGTATTAAGAGCATCTATACAAAACCAGTGGTCAATATTACTCTCAGTGGAAGGAGACTGAAGGCATTCCCCTTGTGACCACAAACCAGGCAAGGATGCCCTCTATCATAACTCTTATTCAATATTGTATTAGAAGTACCAGTCAGTGTAATAATGCAAGAAAATAAAACAAAAGGCATCCAAACTAGCAAATGGAATTAAAATTATCTCCATCTATAGATTATTTTTAAGAAACTTCACTGCAATCTCAAAGGCATGTAGTTTGAATTCACCAGCTACTCAATGGGAGAAGGATGGACAATCTTCTCTCATTTGATTTACTGTCTCTGAAAATCCTGGAGCTAGAAGGTCAGCTATGGGTTGGTTCAGACTCAGTGTTACACAGCAACAACAAACACACACACACACACACACACACACACACACACTTCCTGAAGATTCAACAAGAAAATTACTATCTAGAGTTAAACAATCAGCAAAGTGGCAGGGTATGAGATCAATATACAAAATTCAGCTGGATCCTCTATGGTAACAAAGAGAAATCTAAAAGAGAATAAGGAAAACAATGTCACCCAAAAGATGACATATTTAGGCATAAACCTAATCAGAGACACAAACCATCCTAACAATAAAGAAAAAAGGCCCACATAAATGGAAGAACATATCATGTTCATGTACAGAAGAATAGTGTAAAAATGTCAATACTAGCCCAAAGTGATCTACAGACATAATACACATTCAATTTAGATGTTGTCTTTATTGAATAAATAGATAAATTATTCACCAATTTCATATGGAAAGCAAAATGATTCTGACAGGCAAAGCATTAAAGATGACAAAAAACAAAACCTTATACTTTCTGGTCTCAAAACTCACTAGGTAGCCAATGGAAACGAAACAGCTCTGTACTGGTATAGTTACACATATATTAGTCAATGGAATATATTTTGCAGAGCTCAGAAACAAATCCATCCACCAATGTTTGACAAATGCCTCCAACTGATCTCTGACATATTACATCCATTAAGCAGTAAAAAGACTTTCTTTAATAAATGATGCTGGCAAAATTAGTAATCTACGGAAACCAGATTCATATTCTACATCATATGTAAAGACTAGGGGGCTTTAGTGGCCTTGGCAGTAAAGGATTGTGCTCCTAATCCTAAGGCCAGGCAGTTGGAATTGTCAATTGTTCTGAGGCAGGAAGGTGGGAATTCTACTCCCTTGTAATTTACAGCCCCTTAAAAACTGGAGGGTCAGCTGTCAGTCAGTTCTGACTCGAAAGCACATAGCAACAACATCAACATGCATAAACTAACAATGGATCAAAAACATAGGCAAAAAATCCTCAAACAGTAAAGATCTTCAAAGAAATAAATTAGGGAGACCTTAGAGGAGTCTTACTCCATGGTGAAGGCTATCAAATATATAAACAAAAAAAATGTATAATTAGCAGAGGATAAACTAGATGATTGAGATATTAAAAAATTTAAACCCTAATGTACATCAAAAACCAATTTACTCAAAAGACTAAAAAGAAAATCTACATACTTAGAAAAAATATTTGACAAAAATGAGAAGAGGAAATAAAAAGACATTTCACCAAAGCAGATATTCAGATGTCTAATACAGTATAAATGTTCAAGATCACTAGCTTTTGGAGAGAGGCAAATCAAAACAATCAGCTACCATCTCACTCCTGTGGCAACAGCAAAATTCAAAAGGGCAGTAAACAAGAAATCCTGATGAGATTGTGGAAATAATGGAACTCCCATACACTGCTGGTAGCAATGTACAATGTAAAGCAGTTTGCTCCTTCCTTAGAAACACGGGAATAGAAGCAGCATTTGATCAAGTAATTACACTACAAGGTAAATATCCCAAAGAAATAAAAGTGGTCACATGAACAGATATATGCACACCAATGTTCACTGTAGCACTAATTACAATAGCAAAGATAAGGAGATGACCCAATGTTCATCAAAGGAGGAACGAATAAAAAAGCTATGGTACTATTCTGCAATGCAGCAAAGAATGATAAAGAATTTGAAAAATATTGCATAACATGGATGAATAGAAAGGGCATTATACCAAATTAAATAAGTCACAAAAGAACAAATAATACACAAGACCATTATTATAAAAAGTTAAGATCTAGACACAGGTACAATCATTCTAGATAGTTATTAGTGATGAGAAGGGAAGTAGAGAGCAAGAAAAGATAACAGGTAATAGATGCTTGTTAAGATGGGTGAAGCGAGAGGTAATACATAAGTCAACAATCAGACACTGAGTATTGTTACTAATGTTATCAAACAAAATGTATTTGAATTATTGAATAAAAACCCCAATACTTCATACATTTTCATTCAAATCACCATTTTTAAGTGTTTAAAAATGAAAAGAATTATATTAACATATTATTATATCCCCTCATATGTTACAATTAAAGGTATACAATGCTTCTCATATAATTATCATTCACTCAAAATGTCAATCTAATCCCAAGAAACATCAAGTAAAGACAAATTAAAGATGCTCCATAAAATTAAGTATCCCTGAGTGCTTAATTCTTAACCACTATATTATGTCAACCATATCGAAAAAACACCAAGCTTTTAACACACATGCACACATACATACACGTTAGTTTTCAGCTTATTAGCAGGGGAAAATTTGTAGGCCAACAGAAGCAGAACTGCAAAGGCTCAGTTACTGCAGAATGGACATGAAGAAGTTCTGCTAACAGTGAGAAGTAACTGTTACCCTTACACATTTTATACCCAGTTGTACAGTTACGTTAAACAGTACACAAAGCAGCAGAAAATGCTAACAATACACAATGGTTAGCTGAAGGACAAAAACTATATCATATTCTTGATCCATATAAAGCCTTACTAAAACAGTAAACACAATAAGGAAAATGGTCAGCTGCCCCAAAGTTATTTATCAAGAAACTTGAAAAACAAGTCTAGTAACAACTCACCTAGCTTATCAATAATGCAGCCATTCTGGGATGTTTGGTTAAACTACCATAAGAGTAAGAATGGTAATTAACATGTAGATCTAAAGCTTGCTTTGCTCTAAATTTTCATAAAGAATTTTTGATTGGAATTTTTTAAAGGCTCTGAAGGATACAAACTTAAGTTGAAAATGCCTCACCAGATTTCACCTGAAACAAAACTTTTAATGCCACTCTCTTCTACCCTAAAAACCACACATGACTTAGAAGTCCTAATTCACAACATAAACAGTCTTCCCAGTATCCTGGAAAACCTACAACCAGGAGACGATAACACAGATGAATGGGATCTTCTAAGACTCAAATCCCTATGCACATCCAAAAACTTCTCCAGTAGGGTAAAAAGGGAAGCCACTGACTGGGAAAAAGTATTCGGTAATAACATACCAGATAAGGGACTTATATCCAGAATTTATGAAATACTTTAGCACCACAACAAGATAAAGGTAAATAATCCAATAGAAAAATGGGCACAGGATATGAACAGGCACTTCACCGAAGACGACATTCAGATGGCTAACAAACACATGAAGAAATGCTCAAAATCCCTAGCCCTAAGAGAGATGCAAATTAAAACAACTATGAGATATCATTTCACCCCAGTCAAAATAGCAAAATTTAACAGAACAGCAAGCAACAAATGCTGGCGAGGTTGTGGAGAAACTGGAACCCTGATTCACTGTTGGTGGGAGTGTAAAATGGTGCAACCCCTGTGGAAAGCAGTATGGCGCTTTCTCAAAATGTTGCAAATAGAGATACCATTTGACCCAGCAATTCCACTACTGGGAATATACCCTGAAGAGACCATAGCTGACATCCAAGCAGATATATGCACACCCATGTTTATTGCAGCTTTGTTCACAATAGCAAGGAGTTGGAAACAACCTAAGTGCCCATCAACAAACGAATGGCTAGAGAAGCTGTGGTATATTCGCACAATGGAATACTATGCTGCATTAAAAAACAAGGAACTCATGCAATATTATTCAAAATGGTTGACTCTGGAGAACATTATGCTGAGTGAAATATCCCAGTCACAAAAGGACAAATATTACATGATGCCACTGTTGTAGAATGGGACTGTCCTTGGGGTTGGGGAGAGACTGAGTAAGATGGGTTCAATAATGTATACTGCACTGAAACAGAGGAGGGAGAAAACTGTTTAAAAGAGATATATAACTAGGTATTTCTGTCATCACAGGAGACTAGAGCGAGGGCTACATGGTGGAGGGGACCTGGGGGAGGGTTTGTAAAACAATGAAAGAATCTTTTCTTACTTTTCCATAATTTTTGACTCATGTACTTATAACTTGTTAGTCAAATTTGTGTCTTCTAGGTTGCAACACCCCCATGATACATCTTCAAGGATATGAACATGTACGGCCAAGCACAATCAATAAGAGTGCATCTAAATTCCAAAAATCAATCTCCATAATAGTCTATGTGTTTCCTACTGCCAAAGGGGCCCTTTAGAGTAGTGAGAGAAGATCTTCACCCTGAAACCCACAGCGTCCCTTTTCAGCAGGAAGTAGCTAAGAGAATACACCATCCCCTTTTCCTTACGAATCAGGGTGAAGTCTCTCTCAGGGAGGAGTGATAGGGAATAGTAAAGGACACACCGACAAAGGAGATTAATCAGAACTGACTTTGACAAGCACTATGGCATTTGGACAAGAACAAACTGGGAGGAGGGTAGAGAGAATAGTGCAACAATGAATGAATGGAAACCCAAAATCTCTGTAAATGTTTATGAAAATTAATAAAATATAATTATAGGGAAAAAAAACCACACACGAGGAAAACTATTTTAAAAAAACACCCAACAACATAGAAATTAATAGAAAAATAAACTAATACATGACAACAGAAACTGTTTTCTTTCATTTGAAAAGCATAGCAAATAGATTATTAAGATTTTTAAGCAGAAAAATTTCTAGGTTATCTATTAAGAGAAAAATTCCCAAGTTATCTATCAAGAGAAAAGAACCAAAATGAATCTTTAAATGAAGATGAAAAGACAAAGTATTTTGTAAGACCTGTAATCATCTCGGGCAATTGACACTACAATTCTATAAATAAAATTCTCACTGGGAGAATATAATATATTGTAAATACAGTTTCCTGTTAATTCTGGTATTTGAATGTTATACAAACTCATTATTAACATAGTTATTTCAAACACTGCTTGCTAGCCATTCTTTATTACTTATAAAATACTTATAAATTAAAAAAATTCAGTAATACAGATTCTGAAACTTTTTTAGTAATATCTTCAGATAGTATAATTACAAACAATTTCTATATCTGTTTTTTAAACTGTATAAGAGAATAATGCAATATTTTCATAAAGAATATATGGCATAGGATATTTATACTAATAGTTTCTATTTATCTCAGTGGTCACAGAATTAAGCTACATCAGTGAAAAAGAAATCTTTCTAAATTGCCTTTATTTATTTATTTACACACACACACACACACACACACACACACAATGACTGAAATATTTCTTTTCTATTTTAAAAATAATAATATTCTTCACCGGCAATATGTTTTTTTGCTGTCCATCTCTTTTTACTGATCATAACTTTAAATTACTAAACTATAAAAGTAAAGACAAGAAACTGGGGTGGGGGAAGGAGGGGGAAACCCAGAATACCTCAATATAATAAGCAATTTTGTATGGAAGAAGGTTTCGGAGCAGAATTGGTGGCCATAAATGGATTATGTACGGTAAATCCCATCCATCTTCTGAATACACTGAAAGAGATGTCAAATTATCTTTTTCAGGGACAATATTGATAATAAACGGTTTCTTGGAAGGGTTTGTATTTATACATTTCTTCCTTAGAAGCAGTCCATCGTTTTTTATAATTTCTTCAAATTCAATTCCTTCACACATTTGATAGCCCTCATCTTCAGGCATCAGAAAAAGGAGTGATCTGCATAAAAGATTAAATGTAACACTTCAAAATGCTTTAAAATAAAGTACATATCAAATTGTATGACTGTTATTTAGAATAAGAAAATACCTCCTTTACTTAACTTTTATATTTTTAATCAAAGTTACTGATATTTAACTTTATCAAAACATATATAGTTGCAAATAAGTGGATGCAATGGCGACAAAATTACTAGATGTTACTTATGTACTTTTGCTCATAATTAACTCTTTCTACATTTATTATATTTCAATTAACATTACTATGTTTTAATCTGGCTGTACTCAAGAATAAATATTTACATATTTTTATATTTGCAAAATTAATTTCTATGACTGTTAAAGCTATCAATGGGCCTTACTATTCTCCTAAATTCTAGTCCTAAATTATTTTTTTCAAAACTTTTTTTTTTAAATTTTATTCTTTTTTGTGTGTACTGTCAAATCAGGTCTGACTGGTAGAGGAGGAGACTGTTTCTCCTTCTCCAGTAGAGCATCTGGTGGATTCGAACTGTGTACCTCTGAGATTGCAGTGCAGCTTCTTGCCAATGGGCCACCAGAGCTCACCTAGTCCTAAAATTTTATCTTCCATATATTTCTGTGTAGATCTAAGGTATCTGGTAGTACCTTAGATTTGCTGGATTAAAAATGAACAGAGCCCTTGAAGCCCACTTCTCTATGGAGCCTTTTTCAGAGACAGCCAGCTACAAGCAGTCTAGACTTTCAAAGAAATTCTTCCTTCTTGACCTACACATAAAATTATTTTTAAATGAGTTACCAGATTTTGTCCATTGTATTTCTAGTTTCTCTCTTTGTCATTCTGCTATGCAGTTTTACTTATAGTATTTATAAAGGTGAAAAATTAATATTCTCTAATTTTAATATTCGATTTATGAAGCCCTTGTAAAGCGCATTATGTTATCAATGACAAGAAAAAACTAAGAATGTGAAAATTAGGGAAGATATTCATAATCAGATGGGGGGGAAAGTAACATTACAAGGTAAGCAGTTGGTGTACTATGTTGCTCTTGTGCTACTGAGTCAGCTAAGAGTCACAGCAGCCTTACAGACGACAGGAAGCCTGCCCTATCCTGCACCCTCCCCATAATCTCCAACATGCTCGAGCCCATTGTTGCTGGGGACCAAGAGCAACACATGCTCAGCAATGTGAGGGTAGAAGAGTGTGGTCAACAACTCTTTTGTGGTTGGTTAGAGGGTGAAACAATTTTCCAAAAAAGTTTTCTTCTTCAGAAAATAAAAGGCAGAGAAACGGGTAAGTTTAAAGGAATGTTTAGGAAACCAATGAGGAAAGAAAGGAGAAGGTTAATGGTAAGAAAGTCTGAATGACAAGAGACAGTAAAATTTTAAAGTTTTAAAACAGAAAATAGCACATCTTCTGATAAAGGAATGAAGAAATACATTTTAATATACTACAGTTAAGATAAAACTTATAAAAATGACATAAAAATCAAAGAGCAAATATATCTACACAAACTGAATCTAGCACATTTCATTTTCCAACATTACACTCTAATCAAACCCCAACTACTCTTACAGAGCTATATAAATCCTACGCTTTTAAAGCTCCTAATTTTTTTTTTCATGAATGTCCTTCCTTAGATTGCACACATTACAGGAGTCACCACTATTCTCCTTTGTACTTCCACAGTCTTCTGTAACTGCAGCTCTTTCTGTAACTCTCTACAGTCCACTGCTTTATAGATTTATCTAACACATTATTCTCTCAACGACACTGCTACCATTAGTGTCAAGTCATCTCTGACTCATGGTGACCCCATATATAAAAAAGAAAAGCAACTGCCAGTCTTTCATCATCTTCACATTTGCTGGTATGTCCAAATCTATTGTTTTGACCCCTGTGTATGTTAAGTACCTTCCAACCTACGGGCTCATGTTCCAACAAAGTGTCAGATTATATTTGTTGTGATACCAGAATTTCCAATGGCTAACTATCAAGAAGTATATCACGAGGCCTGTCTTTTTAGTCTCAGCCTGGACACTCCTCGAAATCTCCTGTGGGTGACCTGCTAGAATTGGAAATACCTATGACATAGGTTCTAGCATAATACAAACATAGAAGTCACTAGAGTACGACAATCTGACAGATGGATATGGTCAAGGGAAATAATGATGCCCAATTCATCTTGATAATTATCAAGTACCTTATATCCCAAATACACTTGATAATTATTTGCTGACTAACTGAAAGACCAGTATATTTAAATTCTATAGATACAAAGGTAACTACTTGTCAGTTTATAACCTTATATTCCAGTACATTTCAATTCTACAGTTACAAAGGTAACTCCTAGTTTATATATACCTTATATTTGATATGTAAGCTTATTGTTGTTGTTTAATGCCGTCGAGTCGTAGACGACTCCTAGCGACCCTATGAACGAACAGCCTGAGGACTATTCGTACACAGAGTTTCCAGAGGCAAGCCATTTTGGAAGTGGATGCCGCTCCTGCTTCCAGATGTAAGCTTATACATATTTATTTAATATAATTATCTATAATATATATATATTTAACCATATATGTAAGATATATATAGCTTTATATTTTAAATGTAAGTGACCAACATCTAAACTGAAAATCCGAGCTCGCTGGTCACTAGTGACTTTAATTAAGATACTGGTGCTCTTGTGTACCAGCAGGTCAGAACCAACTCATAGCTGATCTTCTGGGAGATTTTCAGAGGCTGTAAATCTCATGGAAAGAGACTGCCCTTCTTTCTCATGCAGAGCAGCTGGTGGATACAACTGCCTGCCTTTGGGCAATTCAACTCCATACACTAAGCCACCAGAGCTCCCTTAACTTTGAATAGTTAGCATATAAAATATTTTCTAAAAATTTTTAATCCTCTTTCTAAAAACTATTAAAAACTAAATTATCACTTCATCATAGCATATATACACACACACACACCTATATAATACACACACATATATATATATTTATCTAGAAGCTAATAATCATGGTAAATTAGGCATTTTTGAAAATCATACATATTTATGGTTATGTCAATATTGGAAGTAGTTAAAATTATATTTACTAGCAAAATATAATTTACACAGAGTATATTAAATGCCTTTAAAGTAAACAAAAAAATTCTACTACATCCAAAACCCTACATAAATAGTATCAGTATTACATGAAACATTAGTAATCAGATATGATCAAACCCTCAGTTTAAAAGTAGATATCCAGACATAACTAGAAACTAAAATTTCTAAAAAAGATTTAACAAGAATTAAAGAGATAAAGGGGGAAAAAAAAAGTCACCGGTAAGATTCCAATGGCATGTTGAATTCATCATCAGGTAAAGCAGTTCCCAATAAAACATCTCCTTCATAAACAGACAATGGGACTGAAAAATGATTCCTAATCTGGAGAAAAAAAGATTTCATTTTATTAATTGCAGATTCTGAAGACATTTTTCAAAGCAGCTCACCTAACTAAGCCAGTAAAATAACTACCAGGTAATAATTATCTTGCTCATAGAAAAGTAAAAGGAATAAACAAAATTGTTTATCCAAAGAAATACAAGGATTTTTTGTTCTACAGTTTTACAGAAAAGAGGCAAATTTTTTTAACTCCTAGAAGGAAATAAGGTACTAACTTCTTGACACCAAGATAGAAAGCATTTTTACAGATGTTTTAAATTAGACAAATCATTTAAAAAACAGAAATTAATATTTAAAACATCTATATGATACAGTGAAAAACAAGCTATGGACTTATTAACATCTATGTATTTAATAAATTTTTACTGATCTCAGTAAATCTTTACTGCATGAGATTGCCCATCTATCTACAGTGAATGGCCAGTAGATTAGAACTGCTGACCTTTTGATAAGCAACATAACATAGCTCTATCTCTCTGTCCTAAAACTCACTGCCAGTGAATTGATTCCAACTCATAGCAACCCTTCTGCGGGTTTCCAAGGCTGTACATCTATTTTCACACAAGGAGACGGTCTGTCCTCCTGCAGAGCTGCTGCTACATTTGAAAAGCTGGCCTTTCAGTTAGTAGTACCACAACACACAATGTATTCTTTAATTCATGGACTCGGAAGATAAACAACCAACAACCAATAACAAAACGAATGCAGCTCAACCTTCCTGGCAAGTAAGATCTTGTTAATACTGATCAAAGGACATGCCTTCATATTAACAGATTTGTACAGTCAGAAGTCCTGAAATACCAACAATAAAACAGGATATAACTAGATGACACTCAATAAACTGTTGGAATTCAAATTGATAAAGTAATTTTGGGGAATAATTTTACAAACCTAATTAAAGGAAAAATGCAACTTCATTGAGATTAGTAATTCTTCTAGTTCCAGAGTTACATTACACTAAAAGACATTCATACTCATGATAGCACTGATTTAAACATGAAACTTTAAAAATATTCTTATTCAAAAATGAATATATATAGGTGACATCAGTTAAAAAATAATTTCTATTTATCAATTAATAATTACATTCTAAAAATAGTGTGGTATGTAAGCAAAAAAATAATGGAATAATGTTTACCAATAATCTATTCATTCAAAATGCTAATAAAACAAACATAATAAATGTCTTATATGGAGCTTTGGTGGTGCTGTCCATAGGGAGTAAGGCTAACCAAAAAGTTGTGTATCTCCAGGAGTTCAAATCCCTCATTGATTCTACAGAAGAGAGATAGGCAGTCTTCTTCCATTACCATTTCTAAGAAACCAAGAGCTGGTTCTTTGAAATGGTCAACAAAACAGATAAATCACTGGCAAACTTAACAATCAAGACATAACTAACTCAAATAAGAAATTAAAGAAGTGACAACAGCATGGAATCAAATGAAATTAAATCAGTAATCCTGGAATATTATGGAAAGCTATAAATCTGAAAATCTAGAGGAAACGGACTGAATAGATATGGAGATAGGACATATCCCTGGCCTACACCCTTCCCAATTTTGAACTATGCAGTGTTCCCTTACTCTCTGTTCTGCCTGCCTCCTGGTCCAAGTATAGGTTTTGTGTAAGCATGATCAAGAGTTCTGGGATTTCCATTCTTCTCAGAGTTAGCCACACTTTGTTGTGGTCCACAAAGTCAAATGCCTTTGCATTGTCAATGAAACACATATAGACATTCCTCTGGTATTCCTTGCTTTCAGCCAAGATCCAGCTGACATTAGCTACAATATCCCTAGTACCATGGCCTCTTCTAAACCCAACCTGCACTCCAGAAGTTCTCTGTTGATGTACTACAAAATCCATCTAACATTAGCTACAATATCCCTAGTACCAGGGTCTCTTTTAAACCCAGCTTGTACTTCTGGAAGTTCTCTGTTGGTGTGCTTTTTAAAAAATTATCTTCAAGAGAATCTTTCTTGCATGTGATAGTAATGATATTGTTCAATAATTTCCACACTCTGTTGGATCACCTTTCTTTTTGGAATGAAAAGAAACATAGATGTCTTCCAGTCATTTGGCCAGGTGTTGTCCTCCAGATTTCTTGGCACAACTTGGTGAGCACATCCAGGGCAGGATCTGTTTCTTGAAATATAACAATCAGTATACCGTCAAATCCTGGGACCTTTTTTTTTGCCAATTCTTTCAGAGCAGCTTGAATTTATTCCTTCATCACCACAGGCTCTTGCTCATATGTTGTTTCATGAAATTCTTCTGTGTCCGCCAATTTATTTTGGTACAATGACTCTGTATACTCTTTCCATCTTCTTTTAATACTTCCTGGATATTCTGCTCAAAGCATCCAGGGATGTGTCCTATCTCTATACCTTTTCAATCTAGATTATCCGGGAGGCTGGGCTCTATGAGGAGAAATGTGGCATCAGGATTGGAGGAAAGCTCATCAACAATTTGTGTTATGCACAGATTGTTATCATTATGACATAATCCTGCTTGCCAAAACTGAGGAGGATCTGAAGCACTTGCTAAAGAAGATCAAGAACTGCAGCTTTCAATATGGATTGAAACTCAACATCAAGAAAACATTGTTACCACTGGGCCAACTGACAGCATTATGATAGAAGGGGAAGAGACTGATATTGTCAACAGCTTCAATTTGCTTGGCTCCACAAGCAACACTCTTGGTACGAGCAGCCAGGAAATCAAAAGACAAATTACATTCAGAAAGTCGGCTGTCAGGGTCCTCTCCAGAGTAATGAAGGACAACAATGTCAGTCTGGAGACTAAGGTGTGCCTGATCCAGACCAATTGCTTGTTATGCATCCAAGAACTGGACAATGACTGGGGATGACAGAATTAATGTCTTTGAGCTGTGATGCTGTAGAAGAGTGTTGAATATACCAAGGACCGCTAAGAAAACGAATAGGTTCATCCTTGAGAGGGTTAAATCAGTGTGTTCCTAGGAGGTAAGGATCTGAAGCTTCGTCTGACTTATCTTGGACATGTTACAAGGAGGGAGCAGTCCTTGGAAAGGGAGACATGCTTGGGAAGGTGGAGGGAAGATGACCCTTGATGAGATGGACTGATTCAGGGACTAGGGTAATGAGGGGAGATGTGTGAGAGACAGTAAGATTGGCACAGGATAGAGCAGGGTTTAGGGTTGTTGTATACATAGGCTCACTATGAGTTGCAAGTGCCTCTATGGCACATACCAACAAAAGAGGAAATGGATAAATTCCTAGAACCCCACACCCTATCCAAACTGACAGACAGATAAAGAACACCTGAACAGATCGGTTTAAAAAAAAGAAATAAAGAACCTTGCAGTTCATAAAAAGACACAAACACACAGCACACACACACACACACACAATCCTGGCTGAAAAGCTTCAAAGGTGAATTCTCCCAAATATTGTGAGATGAACTATCATCAACTCTATTTAAACTATTTTTAAAAAATGGAAAAGAAAGAACACTTCCAGAGTCATTCTATGAAAACAAGTACAACTCTAGGAGCAAAACCTGGCAAAGACATCACAAAAAAAGGAAAACTATAGATTAGTTATCCTTCATACACATACAAAAACACTTAGCAGTTGGAAACAACCCAGGTGCCCACCCATCAACAAATGAATGGATAGAGAAGCTGTGGTATATTCACACAATGGAATACTATGCTGCACTGAAAAACAAGGAACTCATTCAGTATTATTCAAAATGGGTGAGTCTGGAGGACATTATGCTGAGTGAAATATCTCAGTCGCAAAAGGACAAATACTGCATGGTGCCACTGATGTAAAATGGGACTGATATCAGGGTGGGGGTAAGACTGAGAAAAACTGGATAAATTGTGTATACTGCACTGAAACAGATGAGGGAATAAATAATTTAAAAGTGCTGTATGATAGGGTATTATGGTTATCACAAGACTCCACAATTAAGGTTGCATAGTGGAATGTACTTGGGGCGGTGGGAGAGGTGTGGGGGGATTGTGTACCAGGGAGGGAGTCTTTTACTTTTGAAAGAGAGGAGCGAACTGGGGGGCAGGGGGAGAGGGCTGGGCGGGTAGAGAAGTGCAGCAATGAATGAATGGAAATCCAAATTCTCTGTAAATGTTCGTTAAAATTATTTAAAAAATAAAGAAAAAAAACAACAACACTTAACAAAATCCTGGCAAATAGAATCCAACAGTACAATAAAAAAATAATCATGATCAAGTGGGATTTGTAACAGGAATACAGGTATGATTCAACATAATTAATATAATGCATCACATTAATAAAGCAAAGAACAAGAATCATATCCTATTAATTGATGCTGAAAAGGTCTTCAACAAAATCCAACACCTCTTTTTGATAAAATTCCCAGCAAAATAAGTATAGAGGGGAATTTCCTCTACATAATGAAAAGTATATGGGCAAAACCAAAATCTAACATCATTCTCAATGGAGAAAGATTAAAGGAATTCTCTTTGCAAACAGTGACCAGGCAGGGATTCCCAGTATCACCAATCCTATCCAATATTGTATTGGATTCTTGCTAGATCAGTAAAGAAAGAGAAGGAAATAAGAGGCATCCATGTTGGTAAAGAGGTGATAAAACTGTCAGTATATGCAGAGGATATGATAGTTTATACAGAGAACCCCAAAAACTCAATAAAATAACCTGTTAGACCTAATATATAGATCAATTTAGTAGAAAGGAATGATATAAGGTGAACTTACAAATATCAGCTGGATTTCTCTACAGTACCAAAGAATGCATGGAAAAGCAAAGTTGAAAAGCAGCACTATTTACAATAGCCAACCACAAGAGTAAAAACTAGGAATAAATCTAACTAGAAACACAAAAGACATTTTTTAAGAAAAACTACAGAACATAGCTAAAAGAAACAATAAGAGACCTAACTAAGTGGAAAAATATTTCCTGTTGTCGGATAGGACAGAACATTGTAAAAATGATACTTC